TCCCCAGTGGCACGGCGCCACGCAAACGCACTTCCCACCAAGGCCGCGCAAATCCCAATGACACTGCGACATCACGAACATACTTTGGCCACACGGTCTGTCCACACGCTAGAAGCTCACACGATACCGCGAATGATCCCGCTCAGGCACAGCGACATCACGAACGTAATTTCGCCATACCGTCTGCCACTTCTGACTCCAGCTCTGAAAGGCTCTTGCCCGCACTACATTTGCACTACAAACTGGCCACTCCTGAGTCCAGCTCCAAAAAGCTCTTTCCAGTACAAACTGGCCACTTCTGAGTCCATCTCTGAAAGGCTCTTTCCCGCACTACATTTGGACTACAATCTGGCCACTTCTCACTCCAGCTCTGAAAGGCTCTTTCCCGTACTACATGTGTACTACAAACTGACCACTTCTGAGTCCATCTCTGAAAGGCTCTTTCCCGCGCTACATTTGGACTACAATCTGGCCACTTCTCACTCCAGCTCTGAAAGGCTCCTTCCCGTACTGCATGTGTACTACAAACTGACCACTTCTGAGTCCAGCTCCAAAAAGCTCTTTCCCGTACTACATTTGTACTAGAAACTGGCCACTTCCGCAAAGGGTTGCGCCGGAACCGGACAAATCGCACTCTCGCCTGCATTTCGCGCCCTCGACGCGCACGATCTCCGCAGAGGGTTGCGCGCGCGCCGGACAAATCGCATTCTCGCCTGCATTTCGCGCACTCGACACGCACGATCTCCGCAGAGGGTTGCGCGCGCATGGGCAAAATCGCACTCTCGCCTGCATTTCGCGCACTCGACGCGCACGATCTCCGCAGAGGGTTGCGCGCGCATGGGCCAAATCGCAATCTCGCCTGCATGTCGCGCACTCGACGCGCACGATCTCCGCAGAGGGTGGGGCAAATCGCACTCTCGTCTGCATTTCGCGCACTCGACACGCACGATCTCCGCAGAAAGTTGCGCGCGTGGGACAAAGCGCGCTCTCGCCTCATTTCGCGCACTCGACACGCACGATCTCGGCAGAAGGTTGCGCGCGCGCCGGACAAATCGCACTCTCGCCTGCACTTCGCGCCCTCGACGCGCACGATCTCCGCAGACGGTTGCGCGCGTGGGACAAATCGCACTCTCGCCTGCATTTCGCGCACTCGGCACGCACGATCTCCGCAGAGCGTTGCATTTTCGGTTGACGCTGTTCGTCCCACCCTCCGCCTTTAAAGAGAATTTTTAAAGTGGGGGAATGGTTTTCAGTAGGATATCTCCCGTGAAAGTTTTTCATACTTACACTTGCATACTTACACTTGCGTGCTTACACTTGGATACTTACACTTGCACACTTGCACTTGGATGCTTTCACTTGCAAACTATTAGGATATCTCCTGTGAAAGTTTTTCATACTTACACTTGCATGCTTACACTTGGTTACTTACACTTGCACACTTGCACTTGGATGCTTTCACTTGCAAACTTTCACTTGGATACTTCAGTGCCACTATACGTATAGAAGTGTAAAGTGTTCAAGTGTAAGTATAGAGGTGTAAGTGTTCAAATGATTTTCCGGAAGAACCCTTCGCAATGCTTTCGGGAAAAAAGAGGTTTGGAAAACACGGAGTGAAAAAAAAACACACACCTTTTTAGTTCATGTCACTTCATGTTGCTGGACGTAAAAAGACCATGTTGCTTCATGTTACCTTTTTTGTTGTCCTTTCCATGATCTTTTTATACTTCATGTTACTTGATAATTTTACGTCCATATTTCATGAGAAGGACCCTGACTCCACCGCGCAGTGCGCCAGGAGACACAGCCGCCCGAAAGTGTGACAAGCAGAAAAAATACGCAGCCAGTGGTTCAGTATTGGGAGAAAATATTGACATCCAGGAGAACCTGCCAGACATGGTGGATGCATATTGCTTATTATAGTTCGAACCAAAATACCATTAGATATTAGATACCCATGTTACTCAAATTCTCCAAAATGCTCACCCAAAAGAGTCTATACAATGTCTATATCCACCAACCACATCTCCAAGTCCAAGCGCCACGTCTCACTCCACTTCTTCCCCCTCCAAGCCTTCAAGGCGGCTGGGCCACTGGGCCGACGTGCCTTGATGCACGAAGAGAACAGCGGCTCCGTTCGGAAGCCGAGTGCGACAGCGCGGTCAGGCCAAGCGGCGTTTGGCGATCGCTAGACCGGGAGAGCTCCGTTCCCCCAAATCGTCATCCTTGCAGGATCATTGGGATTCTTTTTGAAGCAGCACACACTATAATTAAGGGCCTATAGGGTCTTAGAAGGATCATTTTGGTGGTCAATTTGAAGTCCTGACTGATGGATGGCTGTTGCATGGCTCAGTGGCGGCTTCGGTTTTGGGACTGAAAGACCTTCATGGTTGCTGCCCAACTCATTGGAGGACCCAGTTAAGCTCGTTGAAGCTGGCGAAGGTGGCCCAAAATGATTGAGCAACCAGACGGGAGGGTCATTTCATGGTCATATCTTGTTTTAAATCAACGACTCAGAGGCCAGGTATGACTGCTGAGTTGTTGAGGTTTGGTCCTTGCGGGGCAAACCAGTGACCCCCACATCAAATGTCCGATGATGCATTAGCTTGGTCCGCTGCTTGCGGACGTCGAGGCTCGACCGGAACATGAAGGCAGCACCAAACGCTGCGTGCTCGGCTATGGCTCACGAGCGTAGCTAACAAATCCCGACGCCTCCATTCAACAAATCTCTGATGCAATCAGGCACCTGCAGAATGCATAATCACGGGAACACTGCGCTTTAGAGCAAAACTCCTTAGACCTTTCTTGAGTGTGGTTGCGACCCGTCAACTTGTTTGACCTCAATATTGGGTTAAGGGTTCCCTTTGGGTCAGCTTCTTTCAGCTTCCAACTCACCAACGCCGACTCAAGACCATTGCAGACTCCCCAAACACCGACAGAGACAGCCCTCCGTCGCCATCGGCGCCCGAGCGCCCGAGCGCCATGCGTCTCTTCTTGGACTTTGTGGACTCCGACCCCGCCACCGCCGCCGCGGCCGTCGAAGCGATGAACTGCGCCGGCGTGGCCGGGACAGCGGCGGTGTCGATGCGAGTGTTCCAAGGAGCGGTGTGTTGAGATGAAAACACACAGACACTCTGCAGGTCATTGTTGTTTTCGTGGAAGTGGAGTTCACATGCGTTCACCAGCTGTTTGCAATTCTAAAATTGGTAATCCGAAATCGGGGCCATGCCATCAGAAATTTCAGGGAGTGTAGAGTGTAGTCATCCAACTTCCACGTTGATGGCGTTGGGGGTCATCATGCAATTCTGGCACCGTCGTACACAAATGCCCAATTCTAATTCTAGTATTAAGAAAGATATCTTATGTAAGAGTCTTTTAAATATATTTATATGATAGCTTCTACCATCTCATACCTTTAGTGAGCTCTTTCGCTACGTGGCATCTCATGAAACATTGAAAGGACTCTTCATGGACGTGGTTTCGGACCTCAACGGCGAGCACACACGGGAAGTCACGCGACGAGGTGACACGAGCGGCGCGACGCAAGCGGCGCTCAGAGTGTGGTCAAGCAGGGAATCTGATGGGGCAAACGGAATCTGATCAGTTTTGCCGCCTCCAACCTAAGAGCGATAGCCTCCACCCTAGTAGCGATGGCCTCCGACCTAAGAGCGATGGCCTCCTGCTTGTGGGAATGCTGATTGATTGGACAAGGACCCCTCCTCGGAGATTCATGAAGAGGTTCATTCACCAACAGTACAATTAGATGCTGGGACTTGGTTTCCCAAGGTAACCGTGTTGAGGCTCTGTCTCTCGGTCCGTGAGTGTTTTGAGAGAAAGGTCAGATCGAGACATGTCCGAACCCAAGGAAACGCTGCCAGCATCTGAAAGCTATCCTGTCTTTCAAGCATCCATAGAAGCTTTGAGATGCTTTGAGAGGCTGCTTCTGTCAGTTGGATTTGGAGTTTCAACTGACAGACCCGGCTGTGGAGGTGGCTCTGGAGGATCTGGCAGCGCGGGCAGCGCCAGTAGCGCCGGAACCGCTGCAGTTCCGGCGCCGCCGGCGCCGACGGAAGCCGCGGCGCCGCCGAAGGCTGCGCCACGGTTCCTAATCTTTGGCGCCAACAGCGCGGGGATCGCATCAGGCGCTTTGGAGGGTGGAAGAGTGGTGTGGGTGGTGTGGATGGTATGGGTAGCTGGACGGTGGCATTGAAAGTGGTATGTAACAAACTATAATACAAAAAAGATCAAAGAAGTCCTCTTGAAAATCATTCAACTTGCATAGACCTCCTCGAGATCTTCGAACAAGGAATCGACCTCGGCCTTTTCGGAGGAAACCTGCAGAAGTCCATTCTCGCTGCCTTCCCGGAGCACTTCGCTCAGCTCCAGCGCATAATGCGCTCGCGGGACCCCGACCAAGCCAATGGTGAGGCTCCCAGGGTAGGGGGCGCTCTACTAGCGATGGCCTCCAACTTACTAGCGGGGGGCGCTCTTGGGGGCATTGGGAGGTGCCCTCCAGATCGAAAGCTCGAATCCTGATGGCAGCATAATGCCAGCACTCGAAATTGATGAGGGCAAATTGACGTCGGCGTGGTTGCAAAGTCGCGGATTCTTTTGAAGCATTGCTGGTGCAGCCGACCACCCGCCGGCACCTGTGTGAGAAAATGGATACTCCAAACTCCAACCTTTGTTTTTGGGTGGTCTTGAAAAGGTGAAGCCTGTCAAGTGAGATGCTGTAGGGATGGTGCAGTCTGCAGGGCCTGCAGGGCCTTCAGCCTGTTGTTCTTCTCTCAGACCTCGATGAATGCCAGGTCTACATCAGTGGTGAAGGAGATCTTTGGCCGCGCTGCCCAGTAGCCGCGAGGTGACGCGTGACCACCAGCCGTGACTGTCTCTGAACCCTCTGCGCGATTTGCACCCCTCGCACATACCTCCAACCTACTAGCAAAAGGAATGTAATAGCAATGGCCTCCAACCCACTAGCAATGGCCTCCAACCCACTAGCAATGGCCTCCAACCTACCAGCAACGGCCTCCAACCTACCAGCAATGGCCTCCACACACTAGCAATGGTCTCCAACCTACAAGCAACGGCCTCCAACACACTAGCAATGTTCTCCAACCTACCAGCAATGGCCTCCAACCCACTAGCGATGACTAGCAATGGCTTGCAACCTACTAGCAATGACCTCCAACCTACGTACGAGAAATGGCCTCCAACCCACTAGCGATGGCCTCCAACCCACTAGCAATGGCCTCCAACCTACTAGCAATGACCTCCAACCTACGAGCAATGGCCTCCAACCTACGAGCAATGGCCTCCAACCCACTAGCAATGGCCTCCAACCTACCAGCAATGGCCTCCAACCCACTAGCATTGGCCTTCAGCCTTCTAGCAATGGCTTCCAACTTACTAGAAATGGCCTCGAATCTACTAGCAACAACCTACTAGCAATGGCCTCCAACCTACTAGCAATGGCTTCCAACCTACTAGCAATTGCCTAAAACGTACTAGCAATGGCCTCCAACCTACTAGCAATGGCTTCCAACCTACTAGCAAATGGCCTCAATTGCCTCCAGCCTACTAACAATGGCCCCCAACCTACTAGGGATGGCTTCCAAGCTGCTAGCAATGGCCTCCAACCTACTAGCAATTGCCTCCAACTTATCAGCTATGGCCTCCAACGTACTAGCAATGGCCTCCAACCTACTTGCAATGGCCTCCAACCTGCTAGCAATGGCCTCCAACCTACTAGCAATGGCCTCCAACCTACCAACCGTGGCCTCCAACCTGCTAGCAATGGCCTCAAACCTACTTGCAATGGCCTCCAACCTGCTAGCAATGGCCT